AAAAAAAAAAAAAAAAAGATTTCTAATGACAAAGCTTAGAGGAATTCTCATATCTTCCGTGAGAAGGAAGGTTGTTGTGCATTCTCCTTATAAATGTGGCCCAAAGCAACTCTGATTCATGTGCTTGACCTCCACCCTTCAAGCAGCGTCTGATTTCCTGATGTTCTGAACCAGTGAGGCGAATCACAGGTTCAACCTTTAGCAGACACTGCTGTCATTGCTGTCTCGGATTTTCCCTTAACCTCCTCTCCAAATGAAAGTTTATTGCACCAATGAATATTAAGTACACCGTACATGTGTTCCTGTACATGGTTGCATTTACATACATTTTCTATCTCTATTAAATAAATCAAAAGCCCTATGCCACCAAAAGAAATTCTAATTTTTCAATATCCCTATATTTATAGAGAAAAAAAAACAGTCACCTTTCTTTTTGAAATGAACCGGTCCTACTAAACACTCCATCACTAAAATTCAAATAGCTTCAAAAAACATAAAAAGAGATGAATGTGTAGCACTTTCTCTGCATTTAAATATTGTGTGACTCGGGCTGGCCAAATAGCTCAGTGGACTAAAGCACCTGCAAGCAGACACAGGGACCAGGAGTTCTATCCCCGGGCCTGCCATGCCGGCTGTGCCGGCCCTGCCTCCCAGGGCACACTGAGCCGGCAATTGAGACTGGGCGTGGTGGCACGTGCCTGTAATCCCAGCTCTTGGGAGGCTGTAAACAGGCGGATCACTAGGAGTCTGATCTAGTAGTGAGACCCTGAACACCCTGTAGACCCTTCCCTAAAATACAGAAAAAAAGAAAAAAAGCAAACAAATACTTTGTGACTCATAATATGATGGAAATTTGGAAATATTTTCCCTGTATTGTTTCCAAAGCACAGCCTCCACGTAAGTAACCCCCACGGGCCTCTAATACACTGAAGAACCTGATGCGAGACGACAAGACGGCGCGTGCCTCTATCCGGCAATCTGAACAGCCGCTTCGAAGGCAGCAGTATGCAAGATAACAACCGTTGTTAATTTCTTATCTTGTTTTGAAATTCTGTGTCATTTTGATTGTTTTATTTCTCTCTCTTTAAAATAATAATTTAAAAAGAACACAAATAACAGACCACAAACCTTAGGTCTCTGTTTTGAGAAGTTAAAAGGGAAGATAGTACAGAAAAAAGTGGGCTAGCTCTGCCTACCTTAAAAAAAAATGTGCCTGCTGAATGACCTGGA